GAGAGCATGGGCTTCATCTACTCCCGCGCCGAGGAAGTCATCGTCGTGCTCACCGGCCGCGCACTCCCCGCGCTCGAACAGATCGGCCGCGAGGAGAACTTGTTGCCGAGCCATCTCGACGCGCTGGAACGGGAGGACTGGGTCACCCGCGCGTGGACGTACCAGGAGGCTGTCAATGCCAGACGGCTAAGGGTGACGTGTCATGATGCACCCCCTGGTGTGTTGGTCGATTGTCTGCAGCTGTTCTCGTATCTGGGCCATGCGATTAATAGTCTCGGTGTGGAAGAGCGGTCGAGCAAGCATCCGAGACTGAACGCCTTCGAGGATGTGATGGTCGACTGTGCGGTCGCGATGTATCTCGAGCGCTCGGCGCTGCAGGTCATGGCTATTATGGACGAGCGGACGCAGACGAGGGTGGAGGATCATTTCTATGCCATGATGGGGGCGATTTCGACGGAGCCGGCGGCGAGTGTTGTTAGGGAGGCGAAGAGTCCGTGTGAGGCGTTTATGGCCCTTTGCGAGAAGAAGGGGGACTATTCGTTTGTGTTTAGCTCGGTGGGGAGGGATGCGAGGGAGGGGAGGCGGTGGCGGCCGGTGGAGGATGAGAGGCTGCCTGCTATTTTGAGGTTGTCGAGTCGGGGGAGTGGGCTGCGTGGTCGAGCGGATGGGGATAAGGTTGTGGTTGAGGATGTTGTGGTGTTTCGGCCTGGACCGATATCCGATGATTCGAGGGGTTTTGTTGCGCGGTGGTTGGAGGGCTATAAGCCGGCGCGGTCTTATGCGGATCTGGAGTTGGAGCACGCCGCATTTGAAGCACTTTGCGAGATGGGCTTTACGGGAAGCAGCGAGTGTGTGGAGACAAATGATGGGCTATTCTTCCCGCAGACACGTCTCGGGGACGCTTCCGAGTTGGAAATCATTGTTGCCGTCGGGATCGAGTGGAGGCTAGGGTCGCCTGCCCTGGGGCGGTATCAGAAGGACGATTCGGCTGGTGGTGTCTTGTACACTCCTGGTGTTTTCTTTGGGATACTTCCCGAGGGGCATTGTGGTGAGACAGTTATACTGTGAATTGTGGTTGGTCTTGACATCTTGCTTCTACCTATTTACCTCGAATAGTGCCCTCAACCTTCTCCATCCGCTTCATCGCCCGCTTATATCCCTCCTCCTTCTCCAACCGGTCGACATAAGCCCAAAGCTTGGGATACCCCTCTAACAACTTCCCTTTGCTCTCCAACGGCTGCAGCCTCGGTCGGACCGTCAGCAGGGGGTACGACATGAGGATATCCGCGGCTGTGAGTTTATCACCGCAAAGATACGGCCCGCCACTAGGCGCCGTGTCGAGCAGCTGCTCGAGGAAGGCGAGGTGTTTCTCCATATTAGGCCGGACAAAGACCGCGTAGAGTTTGTCGGCGACTGCGCCGACGACGGGGCGGATGAAGAAGGGGATTTTGGGGCCTTTCATTACTGTTGCTCGGTTAGTATTCGTCGTCTTTTCGCTTTTGGAATGCCCTGTGTAGGATGTTGAATGAAAGGGGACGTACTACTAAGGATCAACGCAACAAGCAAAGGCGGCATCAAGCTCCCCTCGGCATAGTGCAGCAGATGCTGATATCTCATCCACGCTTCCGTCTCCTTCTTCCCCTCATTCGCAGCATCACCCGGCGCATACCGTGGCGGAACAAGCCCGGTACCCTCTCCGAAGCGGTCACACAAATATTGTGTGATAAAACCGCTCTCTACAAGAACCGTCTCGTTTTCCTCGCCGGGATACGTCAAACCCACCGCGGGAGCTTTTCCGAGCGGGTGCACACGGGCAAGCTCGGGCGGAGCGAACATGGTCTGCGGGTCGCGGTGGAAGATGACGACCTCGTAGTCGAGGCCAAGTTCCTCGAGCAGCCAGACGATGCGCTGGGCTCGGGAGTCGTTGAGCCTTTTCATGTTAGTCGTCTATTTTTAAATGCTTGGTCGGAGAAATACGTACCAGTAGAGCTTGATTTTGGGTTTCGGGATCTCCTCAGTCGACGCCATGTCCGTGATCTCGCTTGTGTTCAAGTTGTGTCGTTTGGTGTTGAGGTGATGAAGACGATGAGGTGAGGTCAGATTAAGCATCAAGCTGACACCTACAGGACTCTTATACTTGCGTCTCAATACTTTGAGGGCGCGCCAAGATGTCGTCAGTTCCCAAACATTCCCGGCGCCAAGCCTGGGCTTCCCGCATCCGCTCGGATTCGCTTAACACGGCCCCACCCGGCCGGCGCCAAGACTCCACAACGGAGCCTAGTCTCGGCGCACCGAATTCCTCCGATCTTACGCCGTCCGGACGGGGGCGACTCTCTTCCGGCCGTTCGCCCGCACGTGGTGGGAGGTTTGGGTTCCAACATTTTTTGGTGCAAATCCCGTACGAAAATGTTGGACTCAAACCTCCTACCACCGTGACCCGTTCGCCTGTCCGACTGTCGCCGATTTGGCTGTTCGCCTTTTCGCTTTTTCGCCTGTCGGGTTTTCGCCTTCCGTTGCACGGCTCGCTTTTGTTCGGACTTGCAGAGTTGCAGTTCAGTCGGTAGTCGGCGCTTCCTGGGTAACCACTCACAATTCAGGGAAACATGCATCATGACGTTCCCGCTGGGTTGCCTTAGCTAATCGCAGCTGGAAACCACAAAGACATCAAAGATAGAAAGATAGCTAGAATAATAGCTGATGCCATCTGGGTCGACATCTATAAATCCCACAGGATATAGTCATGTTCTTGATCATCTCTCACTCATCCAGATCAGCAGTTTCCCATTCCAACAAGCAGACACCTTGTATTAGCAATCATTTTAGCAACCTTCGACGACAGCTTCCCAAATATTCATATTCAACGTCTTGCAAAGATGATGCGACTCAGCAGCGATAACAGCTTCCACTTCGAGTTGCTGCGTCTTCTGTCCCAAGCCCCATACCACGGCGCCGACGTGGGCGAGCTGCTCACGGCGGCCGCCAAGATCGAGGCGGGTAACCCGGAGAGCTACTACAGCGTGATGTTCGCCCTGGCGGAGCGCGTCTACGCCCAAGCCAAGGCCATCGACTCGGCCAAGCACCCCGTGTCAGCGCGCGACGCCTTCTTCCGCGCGGCCACCTACTACCGCGCCGTCGACTTCTACCTGCACGGCAACCCGGCGGACCCGCGCATCAACGACAGCTGGGACCGCGCCGACGCTGCCTTCCGCAGGGCCGTGGCGCTGCTGCCCATCCCCGCCGAGCACCTCGTCCTGCGCGCCGACAAGTCGGCCACGGGCTCGCTCCCGCAGGGCTTCGACATCCCGTGCACGTACTTCCGCGCCACCGCCGAGACCAGCCCACCGCGGCCGACGCTGATCATCCACACGGGCTTTGATGGTTCCGTCGACGAGATGCTCCACATGTTCGGTTTTGCTGCTCTCGACCGCGGCTGCCACGTGCTGCTGTTCGAAGGGCCCGGCCAGGCGTCCCCGCGCCGCCACCAGGGCCTGGGCTACATCCCAGACTGGGAGCGCGTCGTGACTCCCGTGGTGGACCACGTGTTGACCCGGCCCGAGGTGGACTCCCGCCGGATCGGCCTGATCGGAGCCTCCATGGGCGGGTACCTGGCCGTGCGGGCCGCCGCGTACGAGCCCCGGCTCGCCGCGACGGTGGCCGACGACGGCGTATACGATAACTTCCACATCTTCAAACGCATGTTTGTCAAGGCGACGGGGCTGGAGTTCGACACCGACGACGCCGTGTTGGCGGCTGCTATGGAGCGTCTCATAAGGGAGGGCAGGGCGCCGACCGACGCCAAGTGGGCGTTTGAACAGGGGCTATGGAGCTTCGCCGTCGCGGACGGGGCCGCGCTACTCGAGAAGCTCAAGGCGTTTACGCTGCGCGGTATTGAGGAAAAGGTCAGAGGCCCCGTATGGGTAGGCTGCGCGCAGGCGGACCAGTTCTTCCAGGGCCAGCCGGAGCAGGTCCGTGACACGCTCGGGGACAGATGCCACTTTGAGAGTCTAGGTTCTGAGGACGCGGCGGAAAATCATTGTCATTTCGGTGCAACGGTGCTGGCAAACCAGCGGATTTTTGACTGGTTTGACGAGGTTACGAGGTAGGTGCTAATTATTTGACAGTTTGTTGGATTTGTTAGACATGAAGGTGAATGAGGGAATAGAATATAGACTTAAAGGTGAAGAAAGACTGTACCTAGCCCAGCTGCCAGACGATAATGCTGAGGAACTTTATCCCTTACCCGCCTCACCTAGTGCTACCGCCTCCACCATGGACAGCTTGGTAGCATCGACTATCTTCTGCTTGACGAGACGTCGGTAACAGGCATAATCCATTCTGCGATTTTAGTCAGAGAAGCGCGCATAGCAACAAATTACCTAGGTTTCAACAGTCAGCGCGGTCAGGTCCGCATATCGCCAGCGGCCACGGAATTGGGCCAATATTGTTCTCAGGTTTCGAAAGGTGTGCGGTCGCCGGTCGATGGTGAACATGTCCCTGTAATTTTCGGCCTCGGTGAAGAAAATTTCGCCTCGGTGAAGCGTCATCTCTGCAATTTTATCGGTGAACGCCGGTGAACGGCTATCACTGCAATTTGCTCCTCGATGGAGGGAATGCAATCCAGATTTTTTTTCGGTGAGAAGGCTCATGTGATCAGATCTCACCTTAGATTTTCTTCAAAAGCTTTTACGGATATTGTGATGAGGCGTATATCGATATCGCTCTAAGCCAGTATACCAGATGATGCACTCAAGCCTCGATGCTACCTACTCAACCACTACAAGCTCTACCGCAAATTGTCAAAATGTTTTAATTCTTGACAATAGCCACGTATCGTTCCACTTGCCCTTTCTTCTTCTCCCCTATCAGGCGTTGGAATGTCGTCGCAGAATGAGTCTCTGCTTTGAGTGACCGTCTCATTGTGAACATGGACGCGCCGCCAACTCACGAGCTGCACATAAACTCTTTCCACAACTCGACTCAACAACACCAACAAAATACAAGCCCGCGTAGCACAATTGGTTAGTGCGTCAGACTTTTACTACAAAAGTGGACATCTGAATGTTATGAGTTCGAGTCTCATCGCGGGCGGACTTTATCAAGTGGACAGTTTGGAGTGTCCGCTCCTTTTTTGACCCGCTGAGTGGACTCGGATCCGCCGTGTTGGCCATCTTCCGCGTGTTGGATTCGAAACATATTCCACAAGAGGAAGCTCGGCTCGGACGGCTTCGTTTCAAGTTGTGTCTACAGGATCGCATCGAACCATTTGATCAATAAAGGGGCTAGAGAGCGCGTAGAAGCCAGATGCGTTCAGCTATATCTCAGAATTATGGTAATGCAACGTTTATGCCAAGCGAATGCCGACGAGGCTGACGGGTTCTTTCTTAGGCTTAAAACAGTCAAGCTCAGAGCGTAGGATTTATTCAATTACCAACGGTCGCCCATAAAGATCGGATCGACATATGCGGATCGATGACAGGCGGCGGGCCGCGTTCCCGAGCGCATGATGGCACTACGCTGTGCCTCCGGTGCCGTGGTTCTACAGGTGGAGACACCAGGAACAACAATGAGTTGGATGTGCAACGAGATAAGCTCAGCCAGGCAAATTCAAGCTTCGCTAAGCTTCTCATCTTACAAGGGCCCAAAAGTTGGTACGCAACGCTATAGGCTTACCCGGGTTTTCGACACCCTCCCAGAATCCTTCTGGAATCCGACTTTCATTCCCGTCAGAACCTTTATTCAATGTTACCTCATACGATCGATCGGACCATACGTACGTGGGGTACCTCCTAGTTGGATCTTGTCTTAGAAACCCGTTTTTTATTTTACCTCCTTTTTCGAACCTATCAAAGTTATTCTCGACAGACAGACCAACACGTACGTTCCACAAAGTTCCATGGCTTCCGTATTCGGCTGAAAACCCCTTTGCTGTGCGGCACAGCTACTCTAACGCACATAAGAGGAAATACACTAGAATCCCAAACCGGGAGAAATTGCCGAGTACTGCCACGTTGGTGCAAGTGTGAAGAACACGGCACACACCCACACATACCCCAGCAGCCGCCGTCCCCACCCGACCGCCCCCTTTCCGCACTCCGCCTTGCCCATCCCCACCTGCGTCTCGAGCATGCACACGGCAAAATTGACCAGGAAAAAGCGCAGCTCCTGCCAGATATTGGACCGGTACACCATGATCCAGTTGACGATGGCATGACATACCGCCGAGAAGGCAAAGATGCCAGCCGCGCGCAGTGCACTTCGTCCCCGCTTGCTGTCCGGGAAAACGAGGTGCGCAAGCTTGGTGATGTACATGTTTGCGACGGGGACGGTGAGCCGGTGCCAGAAGATGCCCCAGAAGCGGCGGAGCGTGTAGGCCTCGATGGGGTTGCCGAAGATCCACGGCCATGAGGAGGGGAGGTCCCATCCTAGGATGGACACGAAAACGATGGCGAAGATGGTGTGCGCTGTGGTGAGGATGATGTAGCTCTCGAGGATCCAGCGGACGGAGGTCAGCGATCGGAGGATGAGGTCGCGGGATTCCAGGGGGATGGCGGGCAGGAGGGTCTGATTGGCGGGGCCGTAGTCGTACATGGTGAGTTTGAGGGAGTGGAGGGCTTTTGCCGAGCCGATGCCTGAGAGGTGGTGTATGGCCAGGAGGAGGAGGAGCTGTATGCTGTCCTTGACGAGGAAGAGGACCCGGGTCCGCGGGCTGGGTAGTGCTTGGTTGGTGAGGTCGAGGCGACGGACGTTGGCCCATACCCGGAAGACGGACCGGAGACGTTGGTTAAGCGAAAGTCCAGCGGTGTTGATCATGCCCTTCTCGAAGACGAGAAATGAGATGGTATGCACGCTGATGATGATGCCGCCGTGGGCCACGGCACGTTGGACGGGCACCATGACCTCGAGCATGCCGCGAATCCATATCAGAATGCAGAGAATGTTTGCCGCAATGAGAGCATGTCTGACAAAACTGGGAGGACGCTGGACAGCAAAGTAGAAGGGAACAGTGCCCACGAAAAACCAGGCAATAGGGTAATACTGTCCGAAAATGGACTCCATTTCGGTTCGCCAAACGACGTTGTCGAGACGGTTCCGAGGGTTCAGTGCTGGAACGAGAATACTATCGTCAAGATTTCCTAGATTGACTTATACATAGTCAGCTTGGTTTCTGAGTCTGAGGAAATGTCCCCTGGCCTTATTGGCCGCGAGCATAATGCCAAACCCCTGATGGTAAGGCGCTCCTTATTCGCCTCTATGAAACACAGCCTCGGCGATCCTGATTAATTGACTGAAACTCATGTCAATGAAAAGGATCGGTGCATTCATTATGGGGTTCTCTCCTAACCGCCCTCACTGAACTCCGGATAATCGGATATCCTTTGGCAAATTACAAGGCTTCCTCCGAGGTCACCGGACTCGCTAGGTGGGTAGGTAGGAATGTGCCGTGGGCATGTTATGTAAGAGGAAAGACTAAACGAAGGGTTGTATGGAATCGGTGTTGGTCCTTAGTATGCATGATTGTATCTAGTACGGCTCAGCAACCCTTTCTGGCGGCGTTGTATGCCTCGCGAGAGGAGGCGAGCGGCGTAGCAAACACTCGCATGACTAATACAACCCTCCGAACATTTACACCTCCACGCCAAGGATCGCGACCCTGGGCAACCAATTAAACGCTGTAGTAAAAGCTCTCCTGATGCTCCGGAAAAGGATTCTTGGTGTGGAAACTCCAAACCGCCAGGCTGATTGTTCAGCCTAGAAGTGGAGATGTCGACTAACAGTCCATGACAGAGGCGACGCTGAGCGCAACCTGCCATTAACGGAATCAACAGACCTCTAGATCGAGATCGAGGGTATTGGGGACGACGAGTATCACGATCGTCAGGAGAGAAGACTGGCGTCGTCAAAAGTCTATAAAAACCCGAAGCCCAACCCGTCATGATCGATGAACAGAACAGCAGCAGACACAGCAACAGCATCTCCACAACAACAATCCACTCCTTCTTCACACTCCCTTACACAGACACCAAAGTCAATCTTTTTTCACCAGAAGCAACTCTTCTCTCACAAACCGCCAAAATGCCCGTTGCCATCATCGCCGATATCGTCCAGTGGGCCATCTTCGGGGGCGTCCTCGCCGGCACCATCTCGACCTACTGCAAGAACCACCCCGGCCCCGGTTGCGTGAACAAGCGCGACCTCGAGGCCATCGGCTCGGCGCCCAAGGTCCTGTTTGGCCGCCAGGAAGTCGGCCCCTGCAACGTGCCCAAGTACAACTTTGACATCTGCCGCGACCAGCTCCACTCGCAGGGCCAGGTCTGGAGCTCGATCCCGTCGGCCGGTGGTATGTCTTTGGTCTGAATGACTGAAAACGCAGAAAAAAAGACTAATAATGAGATGATAGTCGGCCGCTTCGAGAATGTTCCGCCCGCGTGCATGAACCTCGCCGTGGTTCTCTCCGGGACGTGCGACGGCTCCGGCCCGCGCCCTACGCCCTGCGGGTCGGCCTGCATCGAGTACTCCGGTTTGTCGGATGACGACTTCCGCCGCATCTCGAGTGCTTTCAGCTAAGCGGACTGCGATGATTGGGATGGATGGGTGAATGCATCAAAAGGGGGGGACGGGGCGACCCACTGAAGCATAAATGGTGTCGGCTGGTTGTAAGGGAGCTGGCGGTTTGTGGAATCGGGAGCGTGCAGTTTCTTGTCTGTCATTACCGAGTTTTAGAATTGTCTGTGATTGCAATAAAGGAGTGGCCACTCGAAACTGCGAAAGTCTGTCTGGTGACATGGTGAATGAACTGAATAAATTTATCAATCCGGCTTTATCGTCTTAAGCAACTTATCGATATCTGAGCAGCTGAAGTGCGGATACCCTGGGGGTACCAATGTTGGGGTACCAATCGTACCTCCTCAAACAAGAACTCATGCAGGCAGATTTTTCTGCGTTGGGCCGCGATTAGGCAACCCGCTTCCCACTTCAGGCTCTCTCCCAACAACTCTCCTAAAACTCAAATCTCCACCAGACATTACGATCAACTCCTTCCATCCAGGGTCCTGCTTCCATCTCAATTCCGGTGCCTCGATTCCCACCCAACATCGCCTCCGATATCGCCAACGTGCCCGCGCTTTGTCTCAACTCAAGAGCCAAACAGAATCGCCAATGCTTTGCCCAAAGTGCCATATCGCAACCCGAAAATGGATGGCATGGGGAGCCCTCCCGAAAGAGAACAGGGCGACGGTCTGGGTGGCTGCGATACACGAAACCCACCACACATTCTTCAAAGGTGTCTTGCAAGGGTGCTTAATATGCTCCTGCATTTGGTCGGGCATTCCAGAAGCGGACATCGCAGCAGATGAGACGGATGCCGCCAACGCAATTGTCACCAGCGGTGACAAGAATCTTCAACTGCTCAAGGAGCTCTCCCAGCGTCGCTTCCATGCATGGATCCGCGCGGTTGGGACTCTTCAAGGCCCGTCGACCCACGAGGAAGCTGTCGAGAAATCCGGTTCACAGGAGTTCGCATATTATATCCACAGGGACTACTACTACAGCATTGATAGGTTCAGGTGCTCCCTGAAGGTTTCGGCGGAGAAGGTGTCACTGTCTAAATCCTTTCGCTTGCTGGGTTTTGCCAATGGCTGTAGCATTCCGCTCGGCCTCATTCCGAGCCAATCCCACTCAAGATCTATTTGCACCTCGGCGACTTCCCAGCTATGGCGGCGCTGGACTCACCAGTGTCTCGAGACACATGCCATCTGCAAAAGCCTCGTCTCGGATCACGAGTTCTCCCCGAGCAGGCTTATCGAGGTCATTGCTGACCCAGGCAAGGCCGATCATCAGTGGAGGCTGGTGGAGTCAAATGGACAAGTGACGGGAGCGTACGTCACATTAAGCCATTGCTGGGGTACTACCCTACACACTCGTCTGACCGGAGAGACAATGGAAGATTTCTTACGCGGACGCCCTGTTTCAGTTCTTCCTAAGACATACCGTGATGCGATGATTGTCACTCTGTCACTGGGGCTCAGCTATATCTGGATCGACTCGCTTTGCATTATCCAGGATGACAGAGACGACTGGGAAACGCAATC